GTATTTCCAAGGATAGTAGTGAACTAAAAGTCAAGATAAAAAAAAATAGAAATCTTAAAGCGAATGACATATCTTGATTAAAAAAAAAAATGGACTCCTTTAATGAGTAGAAGTTAAAGGAATTGTTGATTTAACCTTAATAAGTTGGATTTGAGGAGAAAATACCCCCAAAAAATTTAAGATCCGAGAATTTTCAAGTATAATAGAAACAAGTATCTAAGGGCTTCATATTATGAATATTTGCCATGGGTGATGATGAGATATTTGTTGGGTATAAAATAAGGATATAATTAATTGTGTAAATTAAGGTAATCCCAAATTAATTCGTATGAACTAATAACAATAATTTCAGGTCAAACTAGTGCACTATTAAGCAAAAATAATAAGCAGATAATAATTACAAAATAAAATATATATAAAATTTTACATGGAAAATCTTTCAATGAGAAGAAAAAAATTACAGATCAAATTCTGAATCAAATCCACAATCAATGGAAATAAGTACAAGATAATTCACCAAGAATTCAATTTAGAACAAGAAAAAAAACAAAATCTTTTTCTTAAGCAGAACTTAAGCAGAGAGATAATCAAAATAAAATTAGATTTTACTTTCTTGATAAAAAGACGAAATTAATGATAACACTAATGATGTCATCAGTGAGAGAGACTTACAATCACTTCTTTTCTCTTGGCCACCACTCAACCTATACATATATATATATCCCTTCCTTTTCTCTCTTCTCTTTCTTCTTTCTCTCTTTCTTTCCATACAACCTTTTTTTTTTAATTTTTCTTCTCCTCTGCTTAATCTATTTTTTAGCTTTGTTATTCTCCTTTTATAGGCGAGAGTAGTAGTTTAAAATAACTTCTTAATCATAAAATTATCTAAAAATCATGCAGTTTTATCAAATCTTTTCACTGAAATCCTGTGGGTTTATCTTCATCCCTTCGTTTGAAAATCTTTTGGAAATATGAAATTTTATCTCTTGTATATTTCTGCATATTTATCTTTTTAATGTGATGGACTTAACAATCTCCCCCTCCAGCCTATGGAAGGTATCCACGCATCCATTACTCAATTTCCATTCAATCCCATTGTCTTGGTGTAGGATTTATACTTGTCACGAGTCACCACTTTGGTCACCATATTAACCAGATCAGTCTGAATCTTCTTCAAAGAACTCATGCTCTGCTTCGTTGTATTTATCCACTAATTTTGCACTTCTTAGAAGCTCTTTGCCTCTTCCTATTCGGTAACTATAATATACTCAAAACTAAAATATTTGGTAGATGAATGATGTGTTATAGTTGACCTTTTAACTTGAGGTTCTTCTACAATTAGAGGTGGAGGGGGCAGCTCCCTTTACTCGACATCATCATTTACATCTAATGGTGCTGACACATAATCACTTTTATCTCCTTCATTATTGACATTTCTGATTAAAGGATGAATTAGTATAGGAAGAGGAATTTCTTCACTTTTTAAGTCTTCTCCAATATCTTAAAATCTAATAGGTCTTGTGTTCGTCAAAGATTATATCTCTAAACTTGATGACTTTCTTCTTTATTGGATCTCATAACCTGTATCTGAACTCTGCATCTTCACAACCCAGAAAAATACATGGGCTAGTCTTAGCATCTAGTTTATGTCTCTACTCCTTAAACACGTGCAAAAATGTCTTCCACCCGAACACCTTCAAGTGAGAGTATGTAACATCATTCTCAGACCATACTCTATCAGGAATATCAAAATCCAAAGCACCTGATGGAAAGCGATTCATTAGATAGCAAGTGGTGTAAAGTGTTTCACCCCAAAATGGCTTTGATATATTAATCATTTTTAGCAAGCATCTAACCTTCTCTAAGATAGTTCTATTTATTATTTCAACAACACTATTTTGCTGAGAAATATCTAGAACTATCTTTTTATGTCTGATTTTATACTATTAATAATAACTCTCAAATTCTTTTGAAGTGTATTCGCCACCATTGTCACTGCGAATGCACTTTAAAAATGTTTCTTTTTTTTTTCTACCACAACAAGAAACTGCTTGAAGCATTGTAAAACCTAATTTTTTTTTTCGAAATAAACATTAAAACTTTTCGTGAATCATTATCAATAAATATAACAAAGTATGTACTACCACCTAATAATTCCACATTAATAGGACCACATACATCAGAATAGACTAACTCAAGTACATTCATTTTTCTTTCAGAAAAATTATTAAAAGAAATTTTGTATTGTTTACCATATAAATAATCATTACAAGAGTTTAAACTCATACCTATAGCAAAAAAAATGAGAGATTTCTTTACTAGAATCTGCAATTCTTTCTCACCCATATGAACCAACCTCCTGTGCCACAAGTCTGACAAAACATCTTCTTCTGTTGTATGTGTAAAAATCATATTTAGGCATAAATCGGGCACATGTCGTACATTTTTCAATGTCAACGTGCAACCAATATTTGTTTGCACACAAATATCACCAATACTAACAATATCTACATAGTTGTTATTACTCATTTTTACTCTACAAAGTTTCATGTTTTATGTACAGTAAAGGCATCATTCCTGAGTGTAGCATGGTAGGATGTTGTTGAATCAATAACGCATTTAGTATCAAGATTAGTGACATGATTATGATCCTCAATAAACGAAAGTATAACTAGTACTTCATCATCAGTTACAGCTGCTGTGGTATTTTGATCATCTGTCTTTTTTTATTATTCTGTTCCTTTTACCAAATTTCTATAGGTTTATTTCATATGTCATTTCTTGTCGTAATGATAACAACTAAATTTTTCTTTATTACTTCTTTTAAGATCTCTGCTTTTACTTATACTAGTGCTCTCTGTGACAAGGGCTTGTGAGTTGTTAATGTCCATATCCTTCCTTCTGGTCTCCTTATTATAGAGACCATTATTTACCATGGATGAAGACAAAACACTGTTTGGAGCATAGTTTTCTAAGAGACACCACTAAGATCTTCCAACTATTTAGCAACAAACTCAAAAATAATAATGTCTGCATATCATCATCTAGAGTTAATTTCATAATATTCAATTAATTTACCAAATCTTGGAACTCCCTCATGTTTTGTTATTGACTGTCCATCTTGTAGTTTCTGATTCATTGAGTTTTTTAAAACAAAAACTTTATTTTGAGCATTTTTTCTCTCATACATATTCTCTAATTTCTTTCACAACTCCTGAGTAGTGACTTCTTTACTATATAGTGATGAATACTGATATTCATCCACTCTCGGATAGTACAAACAGTCTTCCTGTGCATTTCTCTCAATCATCAACTGATTTTCCAACTGGCTTGGCAATTCCCTAATTTAATAGGATCATACAGATCTCTACAATAAAGAAGATCATCCATCTTCATCTTTCGAATTAAATAATTTGAAGTCATCAGTTTAATCATAGTACTTACATATTCATACATCCTAATTTACATAATTAATTCTAGACCACATATCAACTAGGCTCTGATACCACTTGTTGGGTTCCGAATATTAATATAATTAATTGTATAAATTAAGGTTATTATCAAATTAATTTGCAAGAAGTAATAACATTAATCCTAAGTCAAATTAATGCACAATCGAGTAAAAATAATAACTATATAATAATTGCAAAATAAAATAGACACAATATTTTACGTAAAAAATCTTTCAGTATGCAGGAAAAAATCACAGGTCAACCTCTGAATCAAATCCACTATCAACAAAAATAAGTACAAGGTAATCTACTAAAAATTAAATCCATAACAATAAAGAAACAAATTTTTTTTCTTACGTAGAACTTGAGTATAGAGTTGATGAGAAAGATGTGTGCCTCTCGTGATATAAAGAATGAGACATGCAACGAGCATTAGTGGGAAAATGAGAGAGAGAGAGAGAGAATAAAAGGCAAGATGTGTGACATTTGACTATTCAAGGAAAGGGAGAATAAGAAACTACTATGTAAAAGTGTGTCTTTTTACAACCATTGAGAAAAAGCAATGTTTAATGGCATGAACAAAAAAGATTGAGAAAAAAGACGCAAGGTGTTAATGGTTAGGAAAGAAGTGTGACGGAGAAGATAATGTGTTTACCTAATAACTGAGTATGAGAGAGAAGATTATATGTGCATTTGCAATGGCTTAAGGGGAATTGACAATAAGAAAAATGTATCTCTTTAAGTTTCTTGAAGATGATTAGATGCACATATATTTTTTTATTTTTTTTTAATAAATTGTGTTCGTTTGATTTTAGATAACAAATACGAGAGTGAACTTCATAAAAATATGCAAATTTTTTTTTTTTTTTATGGTAGCATCATCCATATTTTAAATAATCTTTTTCTAAATTTTAATTTTGACAGATAAACCTTCAAAATGCATATATATATATATATATGTGGACATATTTATTATTGACTAAGCATTATCAATACAACATATAATCTTTTTTTAACTAAAGCATTCATAATTTATTTACTAAAAACTATATTTAGAATAAATTAATATATTTATAAAAAATATTTTATAATTCATATATAATCTATTTACGAGAGTATAAATTATATTTAAAACAATAAATATACAGTTTATGTTAAAATGTAATTCACAATGCATCGTATATAACAGCAAAATTAATGAAATTGTGAACAGAGTTCAAATTTTTGTTTATGTGCTTATTTTTTGTTATATTCTAATAAAATTTTTAATTTAAATAATGCTAAACAGACCAATCTTTTTAATTATATTTATCATAAAATAAATTATAATTGGTCTATTCTAATTCAGTTTAATTTAAATTTTTAATTCTACCAAAACTATAAACATTCTAGTTAAATTGTATATTTTTTATTCTAATTTTTCTAAGCCTAAGGATTTTTTCATATAAAAGATTAGATAGAAAAGGAAAAAAAAAAACAAAAACAAAAAAACAAATCTAAAAGAAAGCTGCCTATTTTATCCAAGCACAGCATCCAAATTAGCGTAGAGAAAAAGCTAACAAAATTTGATAGCAGGCCACAGAACCGCAGACGCTGGTTTTGCAAATGGACAAAGGTGGGTCCTTTCCTCTTTGTCCTTTATAACCCAAAATCCCTGCCTTTTCTCTCGCCTTCTTTTCGCATTGCTTTCAGTGTCTCAACCCGATTCACCCAGCTTCATCCCTCTCTCTGCGGCTTTTCAGCAAACAGGTTGGTTTCTTATTTTTCTACCCTTACCATTCTTTCATTGCTTGATTCTCCTCCTTTAGATTCTTATCAAATTACTGGTTTCATGATCATTTCTGTCGATTTCATGCTATTCACTGATTTTCTTCTGGTATACAGATGGTTTTTCGAAATTTTTATCTTTGTTCTTTATGCGGTTTCACAGGGTTTCGTGTTTTAAGTTTCTGGTTGTTTTCTGTCGCTGAAGCTGTTGTTCTTGTTGCTAGAATTAACGATCTGTAAAGCTTGTGTGGTGTTCTTAGAGTATCTAATAGGGTTTTAACGCTTAAGAAATGTACTACTGTGGCATGAATTGTCAGGAATCTTATTTTGTTTTGATGGGTTATTTGAGCCATGATCTGTTTGTGCGATTAACTGATTATGATTGATGCGTTGCTGCGGTGTTCCATCAAAGTTAAAACTGCAGTCAAACCTTGAATTAAATCTCTTTGAAAAAAAATGAATTGAATTGAGAATCTTCTTAAAGTCTTATTCAGATTTTCTTAAGATGAACTTTAGAGCAGATATCAAATTAGATTATGAGAATAGAGGATCCTTAGTGCATGGTTAGTTTTATGTTACTTTTACGTAGCTCCTCTTCTTAAACAATTTCAGGAGCAATGATTCGGCTAATTAGAGAAAAGGAGAAGCAGAAAGAACTTGCTGAAAATGCCAGTAAGGGGTTACCCACCAGGAAACAAAGTGCAGGAGAATTGCGCCTTCATAAAGGTTTTACCAGTTATCTCAGCTCTTTGGTTGAAGAGTTTCTGTTTCTTTGATTTTAGTTTGACAACAACATGTTGCACCTTTTTAAATTTTTACCAAGCAACATTAGTTGATTGTGTATAAGGAGTCTGTTACTTTATTACACGAAGGAAAGGAAGATGGTTGGGAAGATGGATGTTATATCTTTGCCTTCTGTGGTTAAGGTTTCTTACTGATCCTGGTTGGGTTGAAAGCATTTTGAATTGGTTTAGGGATAGAAATTAAATTAATGGTACGGGCCACAACCACAAGGCTTCGTATAAAAATTGTGGTGTCATTATGACCATAATTAGAAGTGGATCATATAAAACCCATATTATTGTTATAAGTAATTGTAAAGTCTCAGCATAAATATAGTTTAAAGTGTCAAATAGAGCAAATTGTTATTATAAGTAATCTTGAAGTAATTATGAAGATAATTTAAGCATCTACGAACCGACATTATAAAGGTTCTTTTTTCGTGGGATTGGTCATCTTAGTCTATTTTGATCCAACACCAGGTGTACTATGTAAAGGTTTTCTGACATATTCTTAGTGAGTAGAAGAGGTAAAAAGTCCGCCATTCTTTGTTGGAAGTATTGTGCACCGGTCTTGTTGCATCCATGCTATCTTTGGATACAATTTGCAAATGAGAATCTAGTTATCTTCTTTCTATCTAGTTGGTTCTTGAGTTCATAAGATGGTTCATGAGATAAATCAGTTTGTTTTTTCTATTATTTTTATTATTTTGTAAATTTTTCATCTTCCTGAATAAAGTAAATTCAGTTGTCAAATTTCTTATTTTGCTCGCAGATATTTCTGAGTTGAATCTACCTAAATCTTGTAGCATATCATTTCCCAATGGGAAGGATGACCTTATGAATTTTGAGGTTTCAATTCGACCTGACGAAGGATATTATCAGTAAGAGAACCTTCTTGTTTCTGCACCTCTAGGTCCTACAACACTGTGTCATTTTTTCTTTTGGCCACTCAGGCTCTGAAATTGATTATGTACTTTTGCAATGTGTCAGAAGTGTGTTTTTTAAAATGTTATTAAATTGCATCTCTACATTATTATTGCAGAGGTGGTACATTTTTGTTTTCTTTCCATGTTTCTTCTATCTATCCACATGAACCACCAAAAGTTAAATGCAAGACCAAGGTAGACCATCACATACTCTATGCTTCTTTTTTTATTCTTTGTTGTTTTTCTTTTCTTTTCTCCTGTAACCTGACCTTTTTGGACTTTTTTGCCAATTTGCAGGTCTACCATCCAAATATTGATCTAGAAGGAAATGTATGCCTTAACATCTTGCGGGAAGATTGGAAACCTGTCCTCAACATAAATACCATCATATATGGATTATATCATCTTTTCACTGTAATATCCGCAGTCTTTAGTAGATTTCTTTGATTTCACAGCCTTATGATCTGTGACTTTTGTGGCACATTTTTTACATCTTTTATATGCAGGAACCGAATTATGAGGATCCGCTGAATCATGATGCTGCTGCTGTGTTGAGAGATAACCCTAAGATGTTTGAATCTAATGTGAGAAGAGCTATGGCTGGTGGGTATGTGGGGCAAACCTTTTTCACAAGGTGCATCTAGCTCTTGCTTAGGTAACATCAAGTAGCATGCTCTTGGTGCTTGAATACATGAGGGTTGTATAATTTATTGACGATATGTTCTGCAAGCTTATCTGATAGTCTGTGGGTAGAGAGTGAGGGAATTAATTTCTAAGACCTTGACAACTGAAATGCAAATCTAAGTGTAATCCCATTTGTAGATGAAGATTCTCAGTCTCTCTCTGAACAAAGTCTCAGGGATTATGATTGTTATTTCCAACTGCTGTAATTAGGTTTAGAATGAACATTTCTATTCATGTGAATAGATGTTAAACTGCATATCATATAGCCTAAGAGCAATTAAATGGAGATTTGGTGGAAATTAAGTTGGCCGAGTTTGGTGCTTAGAGGTTGTTTAGATGATTTGCATAATGGTTCATTAATATTGGATATGATATGATGTGTAAAGTTCATTAATGTTTAAATTTAACCATATTTAGATGATAATTTATTAATGTCTGGTAGTAACAGCTATTTTTGTTTGAATTGACAGTATGGTATGATTGTATATTTAAGTAAATTATTTATTTTGTCCTTATTTTATTATACATAGTAATAAATGAAAAATAAAAAGAGAAAAAATTAAAAAAATATATAGTGTTAAATATAAAAATATATAAGTATATATATATATATACACACACAATAAAATAAGATGAGGTGTACCGCTTTTGTTGAATTAGTGTCAAGTAGAAGAAGAAGAAGAAGAAGAAGAGTGAAAAATATCATATAGAATAATTTAAAATTAAGGATAATTTTGTAAATAAAAAAAATTAAGGATATAAAAAGAAAAAATTATCAAATCATTCTAAAACTATTGAATCGTTAGTTTGAAAAAAATGGAAAAAATTCATGGTTCTGAAAATCATGATTCAATCAGCGAAAAATTATACTATTTATTTGGAAAAACAAACAAATAAAAAAATTATGAAAAAATCATACTATCATTATTGAACTATCATCTAAACAGACTCTTAGTAATATTTGATTAAGCACAATTTCTATAGACAGAATTGAAAAATTTTCTAAATCTTTCAAGGTAAAAGCCCTAAAAAAATGACAATGGAAAAATCACCGTTAATGGGACAAATAAATATGTTCCTTGAGATTAATTCTCTTAATACCTCCATAATTATTCTTTCTGCTAACTTAGTTTTATCGAACTTCATAGTTGAATGGAGAAAAATGGAGAACTTCGTAATGCATACACTAGAGCTAAAAAATAGAGAAAAAATTTAACACAAATACGATTCTCATGAAAGTGCTTAATAATGTAATTTTCAATCATACAATTAAAGAAAATGTGGCTATAATTATATCATGAAAAATATTATTTATCTTGTTTTAACAAAAGAATCATTCTATTAACAATTTAGTAATTTAATAGTTAAAATTTTATTAATAAAATTAAAAATTACGAATTTAAATCTTATTGAAAATATAGAGAACGTTCTTTAATAAACTATTATGAACTGATAATAACTGGTTGATAATATTTAATTTGATTCATTAAAACTAAAAACTAAACTTACTAATGTGTTATTAAATTGTTTAATTAAGTTGGATTAAATTTTTAGAATTCATTATATTTTTGAATAATAAATATTTTATGATGATTAAATTTTTAACTAATTTTTATTAATTTAAAAATTAATTTTTTAAAAAAATTATTCTTGGTGAAATTGCCTTAACACATCACATTGTGACTTAGACCATAAGTTTCAATATGCCCTCTTTTGACAACTAGAAAAGGCAAAATCCAATTCTCTAAAGTACAAAAGCTGCGAGTTCAAAAACATAACAGGGTACCACCATCAATTAGGAAGATGAATAGTCTCTCTCAGATCATCTCTTCCTCTTTCGAATTTGCTGCTTTAACAGATTCACGGTCTCGCCCAAAAACAGTGTACAATGGTGTGTAAAACAAGCAACATAATCCAAAAGGAACTGCCATCATTGACAGAAGCCCCTTTGACAGTGCAGCAGCCTCCTTTGCAGAACCTTTAAAGATATCAACAGCCTTGGAGTCATAACCAAATATTTTCTCAGAAAGAATACCAACCAAGGGAGCTGCAAAAGAAGAGAATGATCCTTCGAAAGCACGATCAAACGCGTAGACCATGGTTCGATGTTTAGCAGGCACAACCTCAGCAAACATAGGAGCATTTGCAGCACTGCCGTTCCAGCTGATGGTTAGGCCCATCAGGGGGAGAGTGATGGCAAAGGCAAAATAGCTGTTAACTGACTGCGGGATCACTTTAAGGAGAAACCACGAAAATGGGATGCCCATGAAAGCACTGAACTGGGCGCACATAATACGCCCAGTATTAGGGTAAATATGTGATATCCGGTCTGCTATTATTCCACCAATGAAGGATCCCACTGCACATCCTATAGCAAAAAGACTCAAGAGGGCTGCTGTATTATTATGATTAAAACCTGCACGAGAATCATAAGACCATTAAGATAAAATAAGAGGGCTGCTCTTATAGAATTGAAATTTGAATTTATCTCGACTTGATTGTAGTCTAATTAGTAGTATGCTCACCAATTAACTCAAACCACATGGTGAAAAATACCATAGCAGTCCATGGAAGTGACCCGACAAGGCCCTGCAAGACAATGATCTGAAATGTCTGTACTTTCATGACAGCTTTCATGGCCATCCAGGACTCCAACCACACGGATGATGTACTAGCCTTACCCTTTTCTATCAGCAACTCATCACTACAACAAAAAGCAGCTGAGTTGCCAAATATTAGTAGGAAATAAACAAAGTTATATCTAATGTGAGATTGTTAACTCCCCAAAGATCATGAATTGCAAAATCAAAAGTTCTTCACCTATTAAAATTCTCTCCATCATGAGCAGTGAAATTAGCAGTTTTCCTCGGGTCAATAACAAAAACAAAGACAAGGAGCCCGATAAGCGCACTCAATGATGCCATCATTATGAAGGCACAACGCCATCCAGGCATTCCCCAGAACTGCTGACCAGCCATAATCGTGGCCAGAACACCACCTCCTATGCCGCCAAAAGAACCAACAAGATTTAGTAGCCCAAATCCAGCCCCTCTTACTCCATCCATATAGCTATCAGCAATAAAAGACTGGAGTGCAGGTATGACAATTGCCAGTCCTAAGCCATTAACAGCCCTCCAAAATGCAACCTGCAAGAATTGTTGGCTTGCTCCTACTGCAGCTGTTGATAAAGCCCAACACAAGGTGCCTATTGCAAGAACTGTAGGTCTTTCATAGTTTATTACTAAAACACCGGCCAAAGGCGATGCCAGTCCCTGCACAAAGTTCCTAATGAAAGTGAGATACCCTAGATCAGATGGCCCGGCATTGAAAGCTTCGCTAACTTCTTTGTAAACGGATGGGAGGAGATTTTCATCAGCACGTTCCATTACAGCAGCCAAGTTGATAAGAATGAGGGAAATAGAAACCCCAAAAATCTTTTTTGTTCTGTTAAAAGTGAAATGCATCAATCAACATAGAGAAGAAAATATGTGGGATCATCTCAGTGGGGGAATGAAACATCATATGCAGGTAAATTGAGCAGACAAATAATCTTTTATTAGCCAATATCCGCCTCAAAATCTCTTCAAATACCATACGGAAGGCTCAAGAAACTTACCCCAGGAGCAAAATTAGGATTTTATACTCATTAAAGTCAAGGTAAAATCAAGCCAAGCACAAAATTGATCATGTGGGTTCTTCACATTTTTTAAGATAATGGAAAGAGGGTTACACAGCTAAAGCAGGCAAATTTTAAGGCAACAAGATAACAAAATCTGACTCGGGCACAGAATCGTTGACGAAAATTATCCAACTGATACAAACTCATCCACTGACCCATTTGCAACTTCGGCTTAGAGCTATGACTATAAGAAGAATCATATGGATACAATAACAAAATTGACCAGTTTAAAGATACAGACCCGTTTACTAACCCGTTTTCCAGCTCCTGCTTATAGCTATGACTACAAGAATAATCATATAGCCTGGTAGTAGTCATATGGTAAATTCACTGGCTTGTGCTTATAAATATAATCCTTGGAAAAAATTTCATAAAAACCTTGCTTCAGTTATACATTTATATCCGGACATGTATGTCTATAGACATGTATATCACCCTTTAAAATGAGATAAAACTCATAAAAAGCCAGTTAGGCATATCCAGAACTAATTATTCCTCGGTTTATAACTCCCATTAAATCAGAGTCTAAAGCATTAGTAACGCCATTAAACAAGCTAATTAATCACCCACAAGCTGGGCGATAAGAAACAGACACTACACTCCAAGTATTCAATAACCCAATTAATCAGTAACAACAGTTATAAAGATCCAAGACAAAATAAACATGTTAAGACACCAGCATAAACAATCACAACATTTTCTACTACCAAGGAGGAACAATGGAGAAAATCGAATAAACTCACTTCATAGTTTGCGAGAGAGACAGATGCCTGAATCGACGAGCGGCACCAAATCTATGACGAACACGATTGATGGCCATCAATCAGCTGCTACAAAAAAGGAGCAAGTGCCTCCTGCATCTATGGCGGATCTGGCACACCCAACTCGCCCCGCGGTACCAAAAAAACCATGACCAACCGAGGACCCATCAGGTATTTGACGAAAAGAATATTCAAATGAAGTTATTTAATTCGAAAAAAGAAAAATAAGTTGAATCGAATCAATATAATAAGTCTAGATAAGCCAAAAAGCCTGCCAACTGCCAAGTAGCCACATAAAAAAATATAAAATAATCTATCAAATTTTAGAAGAAGGTGAAACCTGGAGGGTAGTCACAGGTTATCTGGATTCGTAGCGCGTCGCTTTCAGAACGGGTGCGCCATGGATCTTCTGCTCTTCAATGGCTGTCGTCTTGTTTGGGATTTTTCGGTCTTTCAAAATCTAATACTGTAGTATTGTTAGACTACTAAGGAACCCATGAGGCCATGACACGATTTTCTTGTTAAGGTTAGAAAAGTCAACATGATGATGGGAGGTCTGTCAGATTATTTTGGAGGAGGAAAAACGTGCGATCATCTCTATGGAAATTATTATCATAAAAAATTATTGCAGTTTAAATTATTATTATCCCATCCCCCGGCCTTTTTAGTAGAGTTTATGATCTTTAAAATTTATATTATGATTTGTTGAAAAATAGACAGATTTATTTACAATGTTTTTAACATATTTATAATAAATATTAAATTAATTTATTAAAACTTGGATTAACTTTTTAATATAATATATGATATGTATGATATATGTAATAAATCTGGAAAAAAATTTAGCAATTTAAAAATGTATATAAAAATATATATAACACCCACAAAATTTTTTATTTTAATTAAATAATTAATATATATAATTTTTATTATTTTGTTTTATTTTATTTAGGAGATAAAATAAAATAAAATTGATGGAGAATTAAATTGAAAATAATTTTGGAGAAAATATGTGAAATTTCGGGTTATTAGGGTATTTTTGAAAGAAAAATCAGAAAACAGATGGTCAAAATACAATTTAAAGAAGTTTCGCCACGTCAGACGCCTGGTCAGCAGCTCTGACCAATCAGGACGTGCCAAGTGACAGACACACTGACGTGGGAGGCCACACAGGAGGCCACGTGGGCGATCTGCGTACCCACGATCGAATGGCTGATGTCCATTCCCACTCGCATAGATGGCCTGGATGCGCTCCATCCCAAATGCTATCAAACGGTCAGATTCAAATGCAATCGGACGGTGCATATTAGATCGCGATAGACGGTCCAGATTGAATCGCGATGAACGATCCAGATTCACTCCCTATTTAATCGTGATCGAACAATACAGATCAAACGCAATGGACGGTCCAAATAAAAAACGGACATATATAAATAATTTTCATTCGCACCAAACCCTAACCCTAACTGCTAGAACCCCTCGCCGGAGAAGACGACCCAACTACCAGGGAGCCGACCGCCGCCACTCGCCGCCACACCGGAATACTTTCCGACCGCCAAAAAAGATAAAAACTTTTCCTTTTGCACGAAATTTAATTTTAAGCTCACTTATGGCCAAACCAAAGCAAAAAGACCAGCCAATTGGCCAGAGAACACCGGCGAAGCCCGGCGTCGACATCGCGAGGAATTTCACAAAACGCCTCCGATGAGGCCATTCTCGATTCCTGTTTCGCATAATTTTTTCACCGTTGTGATCACCGTTTTCTTCTCTATAGGTTGACTGAAGCAAAACACTCAACCGCAACGTAAGCCGCAGGAGCTGCCGCACTGGAGAGCCCTGCCCCTGGTGAGTTTCGATTTTTCGTATTTTTTCGGCTAACTAATGACCTTTAACGTGTTTTCTCACAGATATCGATGCAAAATCACCCAAATTCAGCCAAAAATGGCTAAAACGGTCGACCCAAGGCGGACCGCACCGTGCCAAAATTTCGAAATTGGTCGAGTGGGCCCTGGGACTGATTTTGGGTTTATTTGGAATATGTATAGGTGCTATTAGCACGTTTCGATTCCTGGATAAAAATTCAAGGAACCTAGGGACCCCCCGTATGCGCAGTAAATAACTTAGCTTTTCGGGTATCAAAATCGAGTAAGGATCACTCACCCTATTCTCTATCATAGAACTGAAGTTTAAATAAATAATAATATGATATTTTGTGCGATTTAAGTAAACATGCATAACTACAGGTTGTTAATGGAGCAGGAACCGAAAATTATCTACTGCTGTTGTTGATTGTTTTTATATTTTACCTGCATGATGGTATCTTATTTATTTATTTTATGGCTTTGAACACATGTGTGATTTATTTTACATGTTTACTATTGAATCGGGAAAAATAAAGTTTAAACAGTAAAGAAATTGTGTGATTAAATGATTAAATAAAACGACAGTCTTACTAGATATCTTCGTAGATGGTGGACGGACTAGATACATAGAGAACCCTGCCATGAACGTTGTCTCATACCGTATGGGGTATGGGGACTAGATAATTTGGTGTTCATATCGAACGGAGTATGGAGACGGTCTGCTTCACTCTCATATCGTACGGGGTATGGGGACGGCCCACTTCACCCTTATATCGAACAGGGTATAGGGACGGCCCATAATTGAGAATAATAAATGATAGGGTTCACGAGTAGCGGAGGCATCCCTATAAACTCTCATAGATACTAGTAGGTTGGTGAAAAGAGTGGTAGTTATTATTTGGTTTATTGATAATAGATATAGATTTATAATATGTACCAGGATGGTTGATTATGCATGAAATATTATTCTGTATGATATTATTGTTCTTACATGTTATTTTCATAAACTCCAGTATGGTAAGTGAACGATGAATTTTATGATTGATAAATAAATTTGCTAAATTTAATATTCCATTAGTGGTTTTTGATTTTATACCAACGTTTACTTCTGTGTCGGTGATATAGTGTAATATTCTTACTGGGCTAGTGTAACTCATCCTTTATTTAACCATTTCAGATCAAGAGGACCAGGTCCAGAGCCCGATCCGCAAGAAGATTGCGAGTAGATGCTAGATATTTTCTATTTTTTGTTTGTTTCCTTATTTTTTGTGTTTCTTTCAAAGAATGAATTCCATAATGCTGTTTAGTATTTTTAATTTATAATGTAAGGAATGTAAATCTTAACCTTTTTATTTTGCTTCCGCACTTAAGTTATTATCTATTTCCTTTTAGATATTTCCGGAGCCATTACAATATTATATTTTTTATAAATTAATTCAATTTAATTTTTGTTATATTTGAAAAAAAATAAATTAGAAACGATACTGAAAATAATTTTTTTAAAAAAAATGAAAAATTGGGTTATAAAAGTGTTTTTGAAAGAAAAATTGAAGACAGAGGGGTCAAAATGCAGATAGAAAAAATTCGGTCACGTAGAACCGCACAGTCAGCAACCTCGATGAACCAGAGCGCGCTGCGTGGCAAGGCACGCTGACGTCGATGCCACACAAAAGACCACGCTAGCGATCCGCGTGCCTCGCGATTGAACGGTCCATGATCGATCTCACGCGTGTGAACGGTTCGGATTCGTTTTTCCTATAGGTGCGATAGAACGGTCGAGATCAAACGCAATGAACGGTTCAGATTCGTTTCCTCTTTAAGTGCGATCGGATGGACGAGATCGATCGCAATGGACGATCCAGATTAACGCGGGATAAGTATAAATATTGTGCATCACACAGAACCCGAACCCTAGCTACCAGCCCCCCTTCCCTTCCGAAAAAGAAGGACCATATGTCGGAGAAGGAAGCCGACCACCGACTGCCACCGCACCGGCGCCACCTCTGACTGCCAAAAAATGTAAAAATTCTCATACCCGCTTGGAATTCGATTCTGAGCACCCCTATGGCCATATCAGAGCAAAATGAATGGGGGATGAGCCGAAAATTAGGGGCAAAGCCCAGCGGGGCCGCCACGACTCAAAACCTGCAACCTCCTCTGATGAGCTCATTTCCAATTCTTGTTTCCTACAATTTTTCTACTGTTGTGTTCACCGTTCTATTTTCTGAGCCGAAGGAGGAATCCCAGCCATGAAGGAAAATCGATGGAGTTGCCACACCCGAAAACCCACCACCGATAGGTTTCAGCTTCCTTATTTGTTTTACCAACCGAGACTCCCTGACTTTTTTTTTCATAGGGATACGTGTAAAGTCAGCCGAAATCAGCCTAAACTTGCTAAAAACAACCAAGCCGAGACAAACCACTATCGCCGGAGCACGGTGGCGACGCCATATCAGAATCCCAAACTTGGCCATAAAGGATTTTTAACACCGATTTTGAATTTTTTTGGTATTTTTAAGGTAAGTGAAGCGTGTTTAATCTCGCAAAAAAATTCAGAAAATATGGGGACCGTTAGGAGGCATGGTATAAAGTACGGTATTTCGGACACCGATTCGGGTGAGAATCTCTTATCTTATTCCATGTTATGAAATTAAAGCTTAATAATCAATAATATGATATTTTGTGAAATTTAAAAATTTTTGGGAATAATTACAGGTCACTAATAGAGGCGGAATCGGTTAATTATTTATTTGTCATGTTTAACTGATTATTTACTTGTACAACTTTAAACACATGATAATATATTAAACTAGTTAAATGATTCATTTGTATTTTATTGATGTATATATTGTTTGTTTTGCGTAATTTACGGTTGATTTGTGAAATGTAAAATTAATATACAAATGAAAAATTATTTGATTATGTGAATTAATAAATGGTTGTCTTACTGGATATTCTGGGAGATGATGGACAGACCGAGTACATAGGAAACTCTACCATAAACGTTACCTCATACTAGACGGGATATCGAATGATGGTATTTTTGGCGCTCATACTGGACAGGGTATGGAGACGGCCCAGTTCACCCTTATACCGGATGAAATATCGATGGATGCAATTTTTGGCATTCATACCAGACGAGGTATTAAGGGATGACATTTTTGGCGCTCATACCGAACTAGGTATGGAGATGGCCATTTAATTGATAAATTTAGATATTAGGTTTACGCGTAGAGGGACATCCCTATGGAACCCTAGAGGTACTAGTAAGTAGATAAAAATGAAAGTTTTTGTTCTTACTCACTTGTATAAGGAATCATAATGTTATTTGAGTTATTATTTTTATAGGTCGATTTTAAAAATCTCGTAACGGTAAATATGTAATAAATGATTTTTCTTATGATAAATGAACTTACTTAAATCAAAAACTCCATTAGTCGTTTTATGTGGTTTTTTTTTTACCAACCTTCAATTTTCGTATCGGTGAGTAGTGTAATATTCTTGCTGGGTTAGTGTAGCTTACTCCTATTAACCATTTCAAATTAAAAAGATCAAGATTCAGATCCTAATCAGTAGGAGGGTTGTGAGTAGGTGTCCCCCGGATCCTATAAAGAACTAGTAAATGTTAAGCTTCCTACAACATTTATTTACTATTTTCATATATTTA